ACAATCCTTTTTAAAACTTCTCTCCAATAATACTCTTTTTCTCTTTCCTAAAAAGCTGAGCATCAATTCTGCTCAAAGCAGTTGATCTTTTGTACAGAGTGCACATAGATGACATGTGTTCTTTTAAAATTTCATGGTCTGATAAAACAACTGTTATTGATCTCCAATTTTCAAAGCCAGTTATTAATTTGGACTTTTTTTTGGAGAAAAGTTTGCAAGGGTAACAATAAACGCACTTGCTAGTTTCGGAAAATACCAGCCATGTTCTTTTTTCCAAAACTCCGTTTGATTTTTTCTATAAAAATGATCAATAGAGAGCCCTCTGCTGTAGTAAACATCATCTTTTTTTCTTTAAACACCGATTTTAAGTTTTCTATATTTCCTATATTTTCTGGTTTATTTTTTAAAATATAGTCAATAAATGAATCAGACAAACTGTATCATTAATTTCTTCATTTTTCTTATTATACAATTTATCTGGATTTTCTCTGTCTTCTGTTATCTCACTATTTTTTTCATCAACCTGATGTTCACTTTCTCTTTCTTCTTCCCTTTTTTCAACACTTATTGGTCTGTGGCAAGGTTCAAAAGAAGATGTTGATGGCACAGGTAACTTGATATTGCTATTTACTAACAAATATTTATAAAATGCATTTTTCTGACTTTCAACAAATTCCTGGATTTTTAAGATGTTTTTCCTTTTTTCTGCTCCCCTTTGATGTCTTTTCATTCTTGTACTATGAAAGAAGTCGTTTTTATTATATTAATTAATTAATTATTAAAATATAATTACGTTTTAATACCATCTATCTGCCAAGTTTGAATTTTAATATTGAAACAATTCAATTATAAAAGCCATTTGTAATTAATTAAAATGAAATTCATTTAATTTAATGAATTTATATCAAAAGTAAATAAAAATGTTCTTGAAATAAAAGAAAACGTATTAACTGAATAACGTTTTAATTATTTGACCACAATACTTTTTAAAAAAATAAAAACGCGCTTTCAACAACAAAACAACGATACGATATTAAAGACAGAAAAGTAGGGATGTCCGAAGAAATGTCACGGTGGCTAACGAAACGAATGACAGATTGTTTTCAAGCATATTACTGTAAACTGCAAATGTTTGCAAACGCTTATTAACGTTGAATTCAGCATAGTAATTGAAAGAATTTTTTAATAATTTCATTATATTTCAAAATTAATTTCAGTTATTTTTATAAAATAATTTTTTATACGGGGCCCCCTTTCTATTAATAACAAATATTATTTAAAATTTTATGATTTTTTTTCAAATTTTGAAATTTCATTATATTGGAAAATTTATTTGAAGTATTGTTTGAGGGATAAATTTGTACACGGGGCCCCTTGGCCGTCCGGGGCCTCTAGCAGCTGCTCAGTCTGCTAAACGTTAGATCCGCCACTGGTCATGGTTAAATCATATAATGCACATATCAAGTAAAATTTCTAAAATTACCGGTATCATTCGTAAATTGAGGTTCAAGCTTAGTTTTGATGTCTTTAAAAAATTATATTACAGTTTAATTTATCCGTATTTAACATATGGCGTAATGTTATGGGGTAATAGTTGCACGACCCATCTTAATTCCTTGAGATTGGCCTATAATAGTTTTGTTAGATGTCTTTTTTTCTTGAAAAAGTATGACAATGTCTCAAGTTTTTACCAAGAAGCTAATCTATTAACAATTACACAAATATATAATTTTGGTCTTTTAAAATTTATGTTTAAATTATATAAAAATTTATTGCCTCCTAATTTGTCCATTCATTTTAAAGCTCCTGATAAAAAGTTACGTGTTTTAAAACAAATGAATGATTATGTTCAACCTTACCCTAGATTAGTAATTTATAAATAATCTGTTTTCTCCTCCGGGGTTTCACTTTGGAATAGATTACCTTCAGAGTTCAAATTATTAAATAGCATTTCTGATTTTTCTAATAAAATATTATTATATGTCTCCAAATAATCTTTGTTATTTCAAATTCATTATGCTGATATATGATTAAACATTTTTGAGTTTATTGCTGTTGGTCTTGAATGTATGTTGATATTTATTCTTGGACTTAGTTTGAATTCAATTTGTTGTTTGTTCAGGCAAAATCATATGATTGAACATTTTAATTATATTGTTGTTATTTTTTGAATGCATGTCATGAATATATGTTAGTATTTATTTATTGGCCTTAGTTTGAATTACAATTTGTTGTATGATCTTACACATTATAGATAAAACTACAAGGATCAAATTTTAGTTTCATTTCATTATCATTTTGTTTTACGAACGTTTACTTAATGTGCAGTGTGCTATGCTTTTGTGTCAAACAGTTGAACGAACAAATTATGTTATCATATATGCGCTAATTTTTTAAATTGTTTCTGTTTTTTCTTTTTGGTGGCCTATAAAGCTTAATAAGCTTGTATGGTCTCCAAGCCTTTTTTTTGTGGTTAATAAAATTTGTAAAATAAAAAATAAATAAAATATTTATATAAATACATACATATCACTGAAAACACACACACACACACATACACACACACACAAACACACACACACACATATATATATATATATATATATATATATATATATATATTTCAAAAATTCAACACTACTTTCAACACTGTTCAACTTTTTTATATTTCTTTTTAATTTATTAATTTAAGAGAAATTAGACATTTTATTGTTTTTTAAAAAATTTTTATTAAATAAATTTGCAAATAGCTATTTCGAGTTATAAATAACTCATCTTCAGTGCATTATATATAAGGTATGTAAAATATTTGATATAAAGGAACAAGTAATTATTAATTTATATAAATTATTTAATTAAAACAGAAAATCAATAAAATAAATTTAATTACTATAAACAATATAAAACGCGATTTTTAAAGTTTTAACGGCAAGATTGTTTATATTATGGTTGTTAAGGTAAATATCAACGCTCAGCCGGGAAGCGCGAATTAATTTATTTAATTAACTACATATTATTAATATTATTTTGACAATATTTAAAAACGTTATTATTATTATTATTGTTAACGTTATTATTATTATTATCATCGCTGTGGTTCTTCTTGCTTCTTGTGATGATGTTCCATTTGCAAGTGATATTTGCGCTGTGGGTTGTGGCGTTGGTATCTACGGTGTTGGCACTGTTGTTGTTATTGCTGATGCTGTTGTTGTTGATGTTGTTGTTGGTGTTGTTGATGTTGTTTTTAAAGTTGTCACTATTGGTATGATTGTTGTTTACATCATCAATATTGTTGGTGATAACATTGTTATAATTATTGCTGTTGTCGTAATTGTTGTTGTTATAATTATAATGATTGTTGTTTTTATTTAGTAGTCTATTTGAAGGTAGAATGTTGTTAGACTGTACTTGAATGTTCATGGAGGGATTTTTGTTTTGTATGAAAATTAATTCAGCTATTTTCAGGTTTGTGATGTTGTTATTGCAATAAACTATTTGCGTGTTATTTAACATTTGTCGTGTTAAAGTGATGTTATGCTGTTGTTGATAATGTTGTTTAATTGCTCCATCTTGTAGATGCATGGTCAAACGTCTTGACAATGTGGTAGTTGTCATTCCAATATATGAAGCATTGTTGCGGTACGAACATTCACCGACGGAGCATTTATATTCATATATTAGATGACTTTGTTGTAGTTGAGTAGTTGCAAGAAGGCAATTATTTTTCATGATTAGTTGGGATGTTTTTAAATATTGATAGTAAATTCGAAGAACAACTTTATTAATTGGATTTGACGCTACTACGTTTCTGCGTATTATTCCTTTTAAAATTTTTTCATCTTCTTTATAAGCCATTGAAAAGGTATTTTTGTAGTAAAATATTATCTTATTTTTGTCATTCATTTTGTTGTTGATTTAGTTTCTAATGATACGGCTGTTGTTGTTGCTGTTGTTGTTATTGTTGTTGTTATTGTTATTACTGTTTGTGGTGAGGCTTGTGATGCTGTTATTATCAAAGTTATTAGACGTGGTGGAGGACTTGCCATTATCTTCCTGTTCATTGTTGTTTGGAACGTTGTTGGTAATTGCATTATTTTGATGTTTATTTTGTGCATTTTCATGGTATTTTTTGGTTAATCTATTTATGACTTGATCAATTTGTTTCAAAGAGTAATTATTGTTCACGAGAAGTTTTTTTATTTTTAATAATTCTGAGTTGATGAGTGTATAATCAGAGCAATGTTGAAACGCTCTGTTAACTAAAGAAAATATAACACTATTTTTATATTGTTCTGAGGTCTCGCTTTTACCATTAAGACAAAATCCCAAATTGGTGTCTTTTACATAAACTTGCGTTTGAAAACCAATGTCATTTCTGGTTATCAGGACATCCAAAAATGGTAGCTGTTTATTATTTTCAATTTCATGGGTAAAGGAAAGAACTGAGTTGGATTTAAATTCATCAATTAGGTTCATCAAGTTGTTTTCATTATCTACTATAATGAACGTATCATCAACATATCTTATATACATTTCGGGTTTGAGATGTGGTTTCTTTTGGAAAACAGTTTCTTCTAAATATCCCATGTAAAAGTTTGCAAACAACACTTCTAGAGGGGAGCCCATGGCTACACCATTAACCTGCTGATACATTTTCCCATCAGGAGTGTAGAAAGGAGCTTCTTTTGTGCAGATTTGAAGTAACTGATTTAGCAGATGAGGTTTAATTTTTAGTGGATTCATAGCACTATTATATACATAAGTTTAAAATAATATCTATTGTGGCATCAACAGGAACGTTAGTGAAAAGAGATTCCACATCTATTGATGATATGATGCCTGATGATGATCTAGTTTTTAGGATGTGAATAAATTCTGATGATGAAGAAATGCAATGTTCATTTGGAATATATGGAGGTAGGATGTTGTTGAGCCATTTTGCTACATTATATGTTACTGTTGGTATTTGACTAATTATTGTTCGAAGTGGGTCGCCAGTTTTGTGAATTTTGACAGTACCATACATATAACCTGGTCTGTAGTCTCCAGTTAATAGCGGTATTTTATGTTCTGTTGAGTTAGCATTGATTTGTCGAATAATTTGGTTAGTTTTCGTTTTAAGCGATAGTGTTGGATTTTTAGTTATCAGTTTAAATTTAGTTTCATTTTTCAATATGTCATTTAATTTAGATAAATATGTTTTATTGTCTAATATTACGTATAAATTAGATTTATCGGCTTTCAGTATTTTTATTAGTTTTTAAATTTTTAGCAGCAATTTTCATTTCGTTCGTCAACAATTTGCTATTACACGAATTTTGTCTTTTGTTAGATTCACTTAATAATTTATAGGCTAATTGTTGATTTACTTTCACATTTCCTAATTGTTCTTGTTTCCAAATTTCATTTATCAACATCTCAATCTCAATATGTTTATTTATTTTTGGTTTGTTTTTTATGAGGTGACAATTTAAGCCGAGGTTCAAAAATTGTTTTTCATCTATTGTTAAGTGATGGCTACTAAGATTAAGGAAATGATCTTGGTGTTGTGGCAACAAAACTGGTCCGCGATATAAATTGCTAAGTTTTTTGCTAATTCGTTGAAAACAATGGTCTCGATGGCGTTCTTTGATGAAGTTGATTTCATTTAACGATCTTTCATCAATTGAGTCACTTAAGAATTTTATTGACGCTTCCATATTTTTAAAAAGTTCTTCTTTTCTTGATAAC